TCCCACTTATCTGCTCTAATTCAGAAATGATACATTTCAATAATTGATAGAGATGGAGGTAAAATACAAAATTATTCAGTGTAAGTAATGTCATAACTACATCTCTATTCCTAATTTTTGTGAGACTCACATGGAATCCACATCAATCTCACAAAAAATTGTGAGTGGAGATGTGTTTGTGGCATTGTTATATCAATATCACAAGCGACACTGAACATTTGAGCAAGATGAACGATTGATTTGCTCTTACTTGTGTATATTTATCTCTATAGATCAAAAATTTTATGTAAACAAAAGAAATTTATAAATTTTTCTAGTAGTTAATGTCATGAAATAATAAAATTTTAAATATTAAAATATGATCTACTTTAATAAAATAATAGGTGACTCACTTCAATAAAATGACATATGTCATATCAGTTAGGATGAAAATTAAAAATTAAAATAATTTGTATAAACTAAGTAACCACATTGGAAAAAATCAAGTTAAATTAAATAAGTGGATGCAACACCAAACTATTAATCTATGTATTACTATTGCCTTCCACAGTTTGTCCTATTATTTGTCTTCTTGATGTTTAACTAATCCAGACTTTTGTCATGATTCCATTTATGGGGCTGCTGTTGTAATTAATTTAATTATCTTTATGGGTTGTTGATCACCAAACTAACTCACATTTCGGGTTATGATTTTCTATATTGAAATTTTTTTTGTTGTGCACTCGTATATTATTTGATATATGAATTTATCATTGATACAGACACGTATCAAGATTTTAGACTTTTGATACCAAAATTCACCCATATATCATTTGATATTGTCCTATATGTGACCTTATTACTGATACAAATCTCAATAGCATTATTTAAAACCATACATTAAACATTAAACAAACAGATATTTTAAATACAAAAGGATTTTGTGTTCACATTTTGTTTAAAGCTACCTTTTTAGATAGAAAGACAATTGTTTCTGATGGGTGAAATGGTGCCAAATCTTCAAGGCTGCCATTGATCTAGTCTAATTAGAAAATGGCACATCTCAACAACTCATAAGAAAAGGGCTTTAGATTCTTAAATTAAGTAGCTAGTGGACTCCAACACCTTAGATTGTGGGACCATATTGTTGGAACAATAAAGAAGGCATCAAATATAATAAAGTGATGATACATATTCAAAGAGGCAAGTCCTAATATATCACTGGCTATGCCATCTCTTTCGTTGTAATCATGCAAGAAAAAAATCATGTGGATAAAGCGCAGAAAAATCCTAACCCCCTGCTTGGCAGTAATATAAAATCTGTGGTTGCTGCATCACAGTTCCTTCACTAAGATCTTTGTCCACGAGACTGACTGAAACAGGGCTACTAGTGTAGAACACATTATAAGCAATCAAATTGACAGCATTGAGAAGACTGGTACCAGAGACACCTGAAACATAAGAGAAACTGAATGTGGTCTAGTGTTAGTACGCCAGAAAATTTTAATAATCAAAGTTGCAGTGCATATAGAATATTGCAACTTTTTAAGGAAAACAACCAGAATGGAGAGAAAGCATAACAAACAGAACATATTCCATGATAACTCACAAGATTTGAATGAAACATATCAGTAGGGATTTATAAAACGAATATTGGGACATAAATGTTGTACGATTGTACGAGTACCTTTGTTTTTTGGGACATATTTGAGTCTAGTTGGACAAGTAGAGGATGCTAATATATTTATATAGTAAAGCAAAAGCAGCATCAGTATGAATGTTAAGCACAAATTCATTCCATCCACCGAGGTTCTCTTTGTTTTTTCCCTTACAAATTTCTACTTTCTCCATAACCCATTTTATGCTCCATTTGCTTGCTTGCAAAGAAGATGAGGGGAAAGAGGAAAATAAAATATGCAGTCTCACAACTATATGGGTTGGAATCATTATGATAGCTTTCAGTATTTATCTATGCATGTACCCTTTGACAAAGCATAATGGCAAAAATAATTCAAGTAACCGACCTCACTTGATTGATTGGGTTTGGAATGAATCATAAAACAAACACAAGATAAGTATTCACCATGTGGTACAAAATAGAGACAGGGAAGGAGGAGAGAGAGGTGAAACAATAGGCACACAAACTCAAAATTATGCCTAATCCTTCACAAAGAACAAGAGACAATTTCCAAGCAAACCAATGAATACTAACAAACCAAGGGAAAAACAAAGCAGAAAGGAACCTTAATCATAATTAATAAACCAAATAATAATTTATTTTGAAGAGTCCGCGTAACATAGGGTAGACTAGACTTCACACATCTTACAGGCTTTTCCTAAATGAAACAATGTAAAAAATGTCATTTCTATATAACATCCGAAATGAATACATTCGCGCCTAAGCTAAACCATCTCAACCAGCAACTCAAGTGAGACAACATGCAAGCTTGTGCTTGTGGTGCATCAATTAATACACTTGCCTTTGGGCTTGACACCAACTTTGTATTTTTCAATGGATAACAAACAAGTTATGATATTTCCTAAGAGTATTGCAGTTAACATCCCCACGTAGTTCATGAATTCACAACTTATAATTACTAAAATATTAAGTGTAGAACTCAAGCAAGCAAAATTATGTTGCACATTGCGAAATGGGAAAGCAGAGGGTGTGAGGGTTACAGTCACTGATTCACGTATCAACACGCCATCAGATAATGACAACTGCAAACTCTTGACCATTATGTTTATGCAGGATAAATGACAAAGTTAAGAGACACACTTGCACACACTTTCCAAGTCCGTTGATTGTTGGACCATACTGACCATTTGTATCATTATAAATAGAGATTGATTACTGACCTTTCAATATGGAAACACGTGTCTTCGCATTAGAAATTGGAAATTTATGACCAAGCCAATGAAATTCTGTCATAGATGCAGCCTACTGAGATCTTGCCTCAACCATAACAGCCTGCAAATCGAGATAAAGCGAGACACGAGATAAATGGCAAGTAATGTAACAAAAGTCTAGAAATTCTTTTCCAATTTTACAGATAAGAAGAAAATATAATCTAACCACTATTAAAAATGAGATGACCATAAATAGATCAGGATACAACATTATTCATAGCTTAACCTCTAAAACAACTAAACTTACCCCTAGTTTAGCTTTGAAAAGATCGAGTGCAGGCCCTTCCATTTCACCAATGTGCATGAGTTCAGAAGTTTGTAAATTTGACTCGCCAAGTTTGTGTAGACAGTACCGTATACTTGGTTTTAGTTCCTCAACACGCTCACGGCACAAAACCTGATTCTCTAGGTCCCCATATTTCTCGAGTTCCTCATAAACAGCCCTATTAGATAATGAAGTTAGCTACCATCCAACAACGATACAACTAAAGGAAAGGAGAGAAATTCCTGATAGCAGAAACATTCTAGATAGCCAAATTAGAAAGGGAACAAAGATTTTGAAGTAGCCAAAAATGGAAAATGCACAAGGATATGCCAGTAAATTCAAAGAGCAAATTACTCCCAAAGAAAGCAGAAAGGAGCCTTAATCAAAACTTCATACAGTGAGAGTTCATATCTAATAACCCACACCACTCTATGTAATAGATTCAACAAAAGAAAAATTCAAGGCCAAACCCATCTATCAAGCAAAGACACTGAAAATTAGAATAGAAAAGTAGGCATCTTTGGGAGTAATTTCATGGACTCCAAACTCCAATTACCTGAAGCCCAACAACACGACCTAGAAAAATTAGAATGAGGTGGAAATGTACCAAAAAGTATGCACACACCCAAAAAACAAAAAACAAAAAAATCAAATAAATGTAAGGAGAGAGGGATAGAACACAAAACCCTAAAAATTTAAAAATAAATAAAACAAATAAAAAAGATGGCTAGAAAATTTTACTTGAAAGAAGTGCCTCAATCTCAAGAATATTCATTATGTTTCCAAAAAACAACAAAGCTATGGAAAATGGTAGCACACAATCTTTTATTCATCTCAGGGATCAACCCCGATCACAATGTTTACAAAAAAAAAAAAAGCTATAGAAAATGATCGCACACAGAGGGAGAGAGAGAGAGAGAGAGAGAGAGAGAGAGAGAACATGAAGAAGCAGAAGAAGAAGAAGAAGAGCTAACCTGGTTTAGAGATTGAGACTGACTGAGAGAGTTGAAGAGAGACACGCCGCACTGTCGTCGCTGGCTCGCCGCCGTCGCACGCTGCTCGCCGTTGTCTGCTACTGCTTGCCGTTGTCTATCGCTGCTTGCCGTCGTCTGCCACTGCTCACCGTCAAGAGAGAGAGAGAGAGTCATAAGAAGAGATGGGGAAAGATTAGGGGTTTTTGGTTCAAGGGGGAAAGATTAGAGATTTTTGGTTAAGGGGGAAAAATGAGCGCCAAGGGGGGAAAAAAATAGTTGAGCCCAGATTTTGGGTTTTTTTTTTTTTTTTTGCGACGTCAAGTTTCATACCGTCGCAAAAATATCTTTATTTGTGACAGCAGGAGTTGCCGTCGCAAAAACTTGTTCATTTGCGACAAGAAATGGTGTCGTCGCTGAAATCCGATTTATTGGCGATGGCAAGTGGTGCCGTCGCAAAAAATCACTTTTTGCGACGGCAAATGGTGCCGTCGCAAATGCTTCCATGTTATATACCCTCTTTTCTTGTAGTGATAGTAACATTTATGTTATGAAAGATAAAAGAATGGTGTCCAGAGAAGATTATTTTAATTGATCTGAAAAATATAATAGATATGCTAGGATCTTCTTATGAACAGTAATCTTGTTGTAATAAATTAATTATGATGGCAATTTCCACCTTACAATTTTTGCACTATTGTGTTTTAGGGAAAATGGACATTTGGATTGTGAGGTAGGCATAATTAATTGCAAGTCATTTTTCTTTATTTTTCTGCAGGCAAGTATCATTGCCCAGTACTAACACACATTGTTGCTGTAAAGACTAAGGAAAATGTTTTCTGCTACGAGGTTGGTTTGTTTATTTGTTGATCATCAATATTAGTAGTCTTTCGTTGTAAGTTCTTTATGTGTAATTTCTATGTAAGTGATCTGCAGCTCTTTCATTTGCCTTTGTTTTGTAGGCAATCAAAGAATTAAACATCAAAACCAAGAATTGGAAGGAGCTCCTCACTGATGAAACATTCACTAGAGAAGATCTTTTAACAATTCAGGTAATTAGTTGCTTTGGCATGTGGTTTCCTAGTTGGCTGCTATGGTTATATGGACTGGACTCTCCTAATTTGTGAAGTACTCATGTTGGACACTCGACACTTGGGAAGTGTGTGAGATATGTGTTTGATATACTTAGTTGTACATGTTGGACATCCATCAATTCCACCCAACAAGTATGTATAAGTAGTTGAATTTACTATATAACTTCGCATAAGATTTCAATTTTATACATGAATTGCTCTATTTTAATTTGTAAACATTATTTTGTCTTTAACATTAGTATTTAAGAAATATGAAATTTAGCCATGTGCTATTGTCTTTGGATATTTAAATTAAATTAATCCGACATTTAGACACATATTGACCTTCGACACCTGTTTTCAAGTCCATGCAATATAACATACTTGGTTGTGTTGAATATTTGTACTTAACTTTTCACTACAAGATCTCATGATGCTTTCCTTGAATTTTTGGGTGTGCTCTGCAGAATCCTAATGCACTTGACAGCAGGGTTCTCGTGGATTTTGATCATGTAAAAAATAGTTTGAAACTCAATGATGAAGGTGAGCTATAGTCTTTATCTTTTATAGGTCGTAAAACTATTTTTCTTTTTATTCTTTTTTATTCGCTTCTTTTGATCATATATATATTTTTTGGGGTTTCTTTGTGCTATAACTAATGAAAATGAGCTCTGATCCAACTTATAACATAAATGTTTGTGGGGATATCAAACAGATATTGAAAGAGCTTCGAACTAAGAAGGGAAAAGAAATTGCATTGCATGCGGGAGGTGGAAACAAGGCACAAAATGAAAGAGTTGTTGCTCTTAATGCTATATTAGCTGCAAGGTCACATATCAAAGAGGATTCTAAATCAGATACCAATGGAGAGGCTATACCCAAATAGACTTATATTATTGCATATGCTTTTTCTGCTTCAATACATGGAAGGAGTGCTGCAGCTGCAAAGGCCGCATCAGGTGACAAAACTGTTGCTCGGGTAACTATGCACATTGCTGGTAAGAGGTTTCCAGTGAATGCCAAAATGGTTAGTTTTTCCTGAACTAGAGATCTCTCATGTTCTTTATAAATATTTCTATAGTAGTTGAACCATGACAAGCTCCCATTGACTATTAAGAACATTCCAAACTCTAAAACACGGGTTTTTGTCTTGGGTAATACATTACCTGATAGCTTTCCAACTCTAATTTCTGCTGACATTTGGTTATGTGTAATACTTCTACCAATTCCTTATCCTGGTTTGTTTGTCATTTGGACTTTAGATGTTATTTATTTCAACTTCTCATGGAACTAGCATGTATGTTGGGTATTGAATGTGTTGTTTCTGAAATATGATCTATAATTCATAAAGTTTTAGATGGTAAGTTTTTACATGTACTTTTGTTAGTGTGATTATTTATTTTGTCTCTGTATTTCTAGATGATCTTGTGTGTTGTAAATTACGTTCAGATTTTAGATATATCCCGTTGTATAATTATTTCCTATTAATGAACATCATCAACTGATGGTGTTTTCATCATGTTTTGTAATTGCTGAATGTCCCTTCTATCTGCTTAGATTGTTGCTTAGTGAATGCTTTAGTTGTTTGGGTTCCTAAATATAATTATCTTACCCTAGATTTAGTGGATATTAATGATGTTGTTGCCTGGTGGTTGTTCCTTTTACATAGTAGTCTTATAGCAGAGCTGACTTGTGTTTTGTCTTGGTTTCTCAATGCGATTGATCATTTTGTTAAAATGCCGTTTTCCTTTAACCAGATGTTGCTATGGATCGAGGATTGGATATTCAAACTATGAACAATCTGTTGTTGCACTATGTGTGACTTGGAGATTTTTGTTTTATATTGATATGCATTTCATGGTTGATTTGGCTCTTTGTTTTAGAAATCAACTTCTTCACGTATATTATTTTTTTCCCACTTGGATGGGATGATACCATTTGTGAAATTACATGAAGGGCATATTAGTTTTTTTGTGCACGAGTGTATGCATATGACCCTATGCATGGATAATTGGTTTATATTAACCAATAAGATCCACACTATAACTCAATTGATGATACAAATTAGCAGTTGAAATGTTGTTGTTGTGTGGTGTGGTTTGGTGCTCTAGTTAGTAGCGATTTACATTGTGTAAAATCAAACTTTGTCGTTTGCAAGAACTGTCAAGAAGTATATGCATTTCTTTTAAAAGTCAAGCATCAGGTCGGGCTCATCCTAATTGCAAAAAGGAAACCAAGGTCACTTGCGGGCTAAGCTGTGCAAGTTGTTTATTTTTGGGCCTTGGTTTAATAGAATCAATTTGAATTATGCTGTTAAAAATTAGCGGTGTGGTTAATTGGTGGGTTAAAATTTGTTAACTCGCTTATAAATTGATCAACGAGTCTATATGTATATGCAAAATTATGTTCCGCTTACCTGCGCAATTTTTGTTTAGCACAATCACCGTTAATTGGATGATATTCAATTTTAGAAGGTGCTATGGATCAAGGATTGGGGATTTTAAATAGGAACATTCTTCTGCTGCATTTTGGATTTGGAAATTCATGTTTTATGTTTATAAACAACTTAGTGGTGTTTTGCTCGTTGTTTAAAAAAATGTACACCTCTTAATTGTATTATTTGTTTGTTTGTCTTGTGAAATTATGTGTTGAGCGTAGAAGGATTGTTCGTGGCTCTATGTTTGGATCAATTGGTTATATCAACCAATAAGATTCATATTATAAATTGTGGTGTGTGGCTTGGTGCTCTAGTTAGTTGCAATTTACTTTTTTGTAGAGTCAAAAGTGGATGTCCTAAATGGATTTTCTTGATGCATCTAATGGATTGTGAAGTTCAGGCTTAAGGTTTATGGTGGTTTGTGTTGAATGGTTTATTAGCTTCTGTTATGTGTGCGCAGTTCATTTGTTCTTATTTTTGCTTGTGCTGCTTTAGGTTGATGATGTTTTTTAGTGCATGCTTTGGAATTTGGCATTTTTTGTTGCTTTTTGGCTTTTTCATTGCTTTTTATGAGGTGAAAAGAGTTAGTTAGTGTTTGTAATACTTTTTTTTAGTTGAGTAGATAGTTGTGAGATAAAAGTGATTAATTGATGTGTATGATGTGACCTTTTGGTAATGTTGTTTGGTTTTTTACCCGATGGTTTTCCATCTCTATTTTTTGTTAATATTTACTTGTGGTTGTGAGTAATACTGCACCATCTACCTATACCTCCTGGTTTGTTTGTAATACCTTAGTTTTTATTTATTTCAACATCTCTCTGATCTAGCATGTATGTTAGGTTCTAACTGTGTTGTTTTTGAAATTTGCTGTTTTGTGTATAATTCATGTAGTTTTACATGGTAAGTTTTGACATGTACTTATTTCTTGATCTTGTGTGCAGTAAATTGCATTTTGGCAATTATACTTATTTTGCTTTGTATTTTTATATCTTGGGTGGGGTAAATTGCATTTTGGCAATTACAATTATTTTGTTTATTTTTGTTTTTGGGTGGAATTTTTTTTTAATTTTATGATGGATCAATGCCTTTGGCCAGTTTCTAGTGCTGAATAGAAGTACAAGGAAATATCATGGTATAGATCATATTAATGAACTTCTTCAACTGATTGTATTTTCATTATGATTGGTGATTGATTGCTTAATGTTCCCTTTATCTGCTTAGATTGCCCATCGAATTATTGTGTAGTAATTCTATCACCACTTTTGTCACGACCCCAAACCGCCCCTAGTAGTTTGGTGCCGTGATGCCCAGTAATCCGAGATTACCGAAGGCCAACTTTCAAAATTCACACACAGTCAGAGTATAATATATGGGGCTCGCAAGTGCGGAAGCAATAATTTAAAATACAAGTGGTCCATAAGAGCAGTGCATAAGTCAAATGGAATGGCAAACATCTTTACATAGCTTAAAAACTTGAATACAAATAAATTGAAGTACAAAAATACATATTATATCTTGGAAGAAGGCTTCTCAAGCCGACATGTTCAAAATACATAAGCTTCAAAATTGCCGACATAAACAAAAACACTTGAGCCACAAATCATGAAACATAATCTTCAGGATTGCCGACATCCTTACAGCTGACATAACATGCATACAAAACACACATCTCGGCGTAGCCGACTTCTTGCTTGTTACCTACATATATACATAGGGAGGGTGAACTTGGATACTTAGTGAATGGTATGAGTAATAAAGTGGTTAAATGAATGATACCCGTGATCCTTTCAAAACAATACATAGTATATCATCATCAAAACCATACATAACATAGCTTAGCTTGACTTGTAACAAAACATCAATCAAATCTTAGTCTTTCAAAACTTGCTTGGAATACTTAACATACATTGACTTAAAACATGGGGTGATGACATTCCAGGCAAAACAAAAGCATAACCTCGGCATCGAGCACACCCGTTCATAGTCCGTCGGTGGCCGATATCTTAACAAGGGTGCTACTTAGGCTTAACGTCCCCTAGCATGAAAGGAGGTGCTACCTAGGCTTAAAGTCCCCTAGCACGGAAGGACTATGCTACATAGGCTTAAAGTCCCCTAGCACGGAAGGACTATGCTACATAGGCTTAACGTCCCCTAACACGAAAGGACGGTGTTACTTAGGCTTAACGTTCCCTAACACGAAAGGACGGTGTTACTTAGGCTTAACGTCCCCTAACACGAAAGGACGGTTCCAAGAATGTCACCCAAAACAAAGCTTATACTTGATACATAAAATAGGGATATCATTCATGCTTAACAAAATACTTTTATCAAAACGAGGCAAAACTTTATTAAAACTTGATAACATAACTTTATCAGAAATACCACTCACTTAGTTCTTGGGACGTCGGGATCAAGGCAAAGGTCCAAGTCCTACAAACACATGGCAAGGTCTAATGAACATACTCTCCCAAAACAAGTCTTACATGCATGCAAATGATCTCGGGAAAACATGCTGGAAGTCAAACACTGTTTTACATGTCAAGAAGACATGCTGGGTACCAACCAGGTTTTAGCTGAGGTCCCACATCTCCTGGCCGAGGTGTGGCTACCTAGGCTTCGGCATGCGGCTGAATGTCGAGGTGCGCACAAGACAGACTAAAGGTGCAAGTGATCATGCAAGGTAGGCCAAGGTGAGATACGATGCTTGGCCTCAGTGTGAGGTCTAAGTGAGAGTGATCTCGGCGACTACACTTCGAGAAGTGAGGTCTGGAGATCTGGGTTTCCACCCGTGAAGAACATGAAGAACATGAACATGAAGATCATGAAGTACATGAATGCTAAAATCATAACTTCTTTATAACAAAAATCTGGGATTTCATGCTATGAGTTCGAAAACATGGACCTGGGTACCCATACTTGAAAATCATGCGAAAACAAACACAAAAACATGGATCTAGGCATGAGCCTTCGGATCAAAATATGACTTTTCTTGAATAACACATGAATGCCATTTACTCTTTCTAAAACCGAACTTCAAAGCAATGCATGGCTTACAAATCTTATTTAGTCATGCAATGCAATAACATAAACATAAAGAACGACAAGAGCAGATCAAGAATCTAACCTTAGAACACGGATCTAACGGTTCGATCTCTAAGGATCAAGCTTAGAAATCCACTCTCTCTCAAGAACTCTTCTTCCTCTCCTAGAGTTTCTCTCTCTTCTTCAAAACAAGTTTAGGAGCAAATGATGGGTTTCTCTCTCTATCGGCTGACTTAAGTCTCAGCTCGGACGCGTGGCAGCGGTGGATTGGTTCTCCTCAAAAAGGTGATAGATTGACAAGACAAGACTATGACAAAGCGTATCTAACAAGCTACTCGGAATGGCACTCTGGCAAGTGGTGACATCGGCTAAGGACAAGGCTTCGGCAACTAAGGTTCCAATGACCTCGGCTAGGAAGGACAACACTTGACTAAGCTGTGCCACACCTTGGCCTAGATGTGCCACACCTCGGTCTAGGTCATACCACTCCAGGACAAGATCACTTAGGTGCAAAGGTAACATCTCGGCCTAGATGGTACACATCTCAGCCTTGGTGATGAACACCTCGGCCTAGATAATGACATCTCGGCTAATATGTCAAGGCGAGGGTGGAGGTCGAACAAAGGGGTTTCCAAGATGATTCTAGACTGAAGATGACCTCGGCTTGGAACGACCTAGGCGTAACATGACCTCGGCTAGACATAACCTAGGCTTGG